CCCCCCTCCCATCTCGACCTTTTTTTCACTTTGATGTTCCTTCCCCTCAGTGAACCCCAAAGTCAACTAATGGGCTAATGATAACTATAAAAACGCCTGCCATTTGATATAAATAAATAAGTAATTATTGGCAATATAAATAAATGATATCAGATGAAGCTATTAAAATAAGAGGAAACAAATTGCTGAATTAAAAACAATCTTATAATAAACGTACAAATTAAAAGTCCGCAGTTGGAGGGGAAATCCTGAAATACGGAGATTAAGTGTCAAAAGTGGATGAACTGAAAGTTCATGCCAAAGCTCTCACTGCATTGGCCAACGCGCGGAGCCAATCAGATACGAACTGTGTTCTGACTCGCTGATAAGGCCATATGCAACCTCGTCCTGAAAAGTAGATTAAAAGATGGCCTTAGTGTGAAATAACATTGATAAATCTGCACATGAAGAACAAACAGAGCAAAAAGCAAACACCAAGGCACATGTTTGAAGATTAGGTTACTATGAAAGGGCCCGATTTTTTTTCCTAATAAGTGAACAGGAAAAAAGACCAACATTTCTTGTGTTAAACCAAAAACATGTATACTTTAAATGGAACTCATTTATATTTTTGTATCATATAAGCATTCTAAAAAGTTAAATGATCAAAACTTGTTAGCAGTAGGCCCAATATAAAGATTCTTCCCCTCCTACGTATAGAGACACGTGCTGCTAAACTTAAATAAAGCCAAATCATGACAAGGAATAATAAGCGCTCAATCGGAGGCTGGAAAAAACTTTTTTTCGAAAAAATAACCTGAAATATCCCAGAAAGCTTCGTATTCTGTCTACGCTTTGTTAGAGTATCCGAGAGGTCAATTTGCCCACATTGAATGGGGGCAAATTGAGCAACGAACCCGGGAACTCTTAAGTGTACGATAATAGTTAAACCGCGGGCTTCCAAGGTATGTAACTTTTGCTTAGTCAAACATTATTTAAAAAAAGGAGTGAGACTGAACAACTCCAATAAAACTTCTTACAAACGGAGACAAAAAAGCATTAGCTTGCCAATTCCAGGCAAGAAATATTCAAGGCATTTTGATTTAAGAATTTGATATATTCATTTTTTATAAAAATTGATGTTCATTCAAAGAAAAAGGACAGTGTTCACGCCTACGTACATAATGGCTAAAATGTGATTAGTACCAGGTTCTACATAAGTTTAATGTTAATGATCAAGATAAGCTAGTCCCGCGTTTTGATTAGTTATTATTATGTATTAACCAAATCAACGTAAAGATCTTCAAAACCGTCATAACACAGATTATAACAATGAGTAAACGGCCTTTAAAATTTAGGTAATTTTAAACCGATCGTGTTTCATTATGCAAAAATATCTACGAAAAATAACCCAATTATCCAAAGGTGTAATAAACATCGTTCTCAGACGACGTTTGAATTAGGCATAAGAAAACCTTACAACCACGTATGATCAAAGCTACTATCCTACTTATTGCTTTTGAGTAACAATATCTAATTCAGAATGACTAATTAATAAAAGGGCGGATACCAGAGTCCCAACTAATTAAGTAGGAAATAAATCCAAAGTTACGTAAATACAAGTAGGTTTACAACAGTGTCACAATTCGTTTCTGTGTAATGGAAATGAAACATGTAATGGAGTTAACAAGACATGGAAAGTAAAAAGCCAATTCGCCAATTGGTGACAAGAAAAAACAAGCAGCATGATTCGAGCGTATCACATGACTAAACAGTTAATAACATGGAAAGGGAAGGGGTGTGCGATAGACTTACCTCCACGTGGTGCACCCTGGGCAACGTATATTCATACGGCAAAAAAGTCTATTAACTGGCAGTTGAATTCTCATTTCAAACTACCACCACCTCACTCTATGCCATATTCGACTATTTCCACAGTACTCTTCTTACCTTTTTTCTACCTTTGTGTTTGTCTCATACATCTTTGAAACACTCTTCTGTCCCCCCCCCTCTAGACTTTTTTCAATTTGATGTTCCTTCTCCTCTGCGAAGTCTGAAGTCAACTAAAGGGCTAATGATAACCATCAAGACGCCTGCCACTTGATATAAATAAATATATTGAAAGGGAATTAAACTAGTCAATGTTAATTGTGAAAACACCGAAATTAACTCAATAGTAAAGAAAAAATCCCGAATTCAAAGTTATTTTACAAATCAATTCTAAAAGATCAGGCTAAATCTAAGACTAAATAAGGAAGATATAAACCTTTGATGTTACATACGGATAAGTTCCTTGCAGTGTTAACTGTTAATAGTAAGCTGTTAAACGAAAGCTTATCTTTTATGAAATCATAGAACCAATTTCTTACCAGCCTCGCTGTTCTCCGAATTAGGGGTCGAAAGGAAGGCTGACTGTCTGCTCCATTGATCTAAATGCGGGGTTGTTTCTGGGGCCCTGTCTATCATGGTTCTAAAAGGGAGTTATTAATGGCTGTCTACTTGGAAAAGGAAAAATTTGTGACGTATGCTGAGCGAAAATTAAATATTGCACATAAAGCCAACAGCAGGTCAGAGAGATTTATAAATATTAAATGACACTTGAAATGCAAAAATGGATACCTTACAGATTAGAAAAAGATCTTAAAGAGGCAGGAACACGATCTAAATAAAGATAATACTATATGAAGTATAATGGCGTATTTTCTAAATATCAAAAGACAAAATTAATGAGATTAAAAGTTTCTGAACAAGACAATACCGATTTTGATAACAGCAAAACATACTATGCTGTGTGGGTCATACATAATTTAACCAGATGATATTGCAAATCAATACTTAGGTGTTTATTAATTCAAATTACAGTAAATAGTTGACACAAGATCTGTTAACCAGACATTCAAAATCGTACAGACGAAGTATTGAGAAATATTACCCCAAAATGGCCAAATACAGTATGCGCCGAAGAATGATCAAGACACTCATCCATAATAACCTTGATAGCAAATAATTGTTCTTAATAATTTATGTTTTGATCACTATTCCCAAAAAAATTTCACAGGTTTTTTAATCGATTGCAAAAAATTTTTGATTGAAATTTAATACTTGACACTGTACGAGATTTGTTAGCCCAATTAAGTGTAATTTTATTATGCCAATTCGATACAAAAAATTCACTTGATCAATGGCAAAATACTTTATGTCTTCAATCACATTTATTATTTTCTATTCCTCATATATATATATAGTATAAAAGATAATCAGCATGAAATATGATTAGTTACTAAGTTACCTTCTCTAGTTCAGCTGGATTATTGCTTTATTTCTTTTATCAGGTCCATTCACTTTTTGCTAATCTTGGATTTCTAATCATAATACGAAAAACTAGGAAATCAATGGGAATAATTTTGGTAATATTTGCATTAGTAATATTGCCTGCCACCCCACTTCATTGAAACTTTCGGATATTAAAACCGTTTTTTCCTCTTTTATAACTAGATGTAAAGAGTCGATATTTCCACTTACTTAAACGATATCTAGCCGATATGCTTACAAGCTATCAATAAATTTCATGGTCACTATTTTAGCATTAATTAGACATCCTTTGCATGTCTTAATGGGTTAATTGCTAAACAGTACGTGGTGGGAAGCGAGCATGCTTTTGATACTAAAACATAGGCATAAATATCTTTCACCTTCCAGTTGATCAGAGTAGGCTTATTAAAATTTTTATTACGACATATCGGAAAATCATATTTTCACAAATAGTTAATTCTAATCCTAAGAATCTTTATTTTCCTTTATTTAAATTTTCGACCTTTTAATTTCCTTTTAATGGAACAAAATTATTTGCGTTAAGTGGGCAAATGACGCATGTGCTAAATCAAAAAGTAGATCATATAAAATATTTTGGTGTTATATTATGGTTTAAATTCATTTGTTTTGAGATTCTGGGTGGCAGATGTGAATTGTAACCTGTTTCATACAATGTATTGCAGATAACTGCGAAAAATTATTTAATAAACCAAAAGCGATTATTTATAGTATTCATCATTTTACGAAGCTTTGGTGCTTGGGCCTTTTCGTGATTCGAAGTAATTCAAAAAATCAAGTATTTTATGCTTCCTATACTGTAGAAAGTGACAACCTGAAATATTTGTTATTGGTGAATATAAGCTCTATAAATATAAATATAAAAAATATTAAAATAAATATCTATTTTTGCACCAGCTATTATTTATAAGCGATTATGCTAAAGGAGCGAGCAAGTTTTAATGTATCAATACTCTGTCCGCGATTTGAATAGTTCCCCTTGCGCTTGGTACGATTGTTTTCTTTATTTCGTTATTGCCTGTTGTTGTTAGTTAAGTGCATCCTTTTGCTTAGTGTCTCGAAATAGTCCACTTTATTATCTCCTTTATTCTTTTGTTTCATTTGTTTACTTTTCGCACCTGTCTGTCTTCTGCAGTATTTAGGCATGCGCTTCTTGGATGTTAATTTATCAGATGGCAAACTGAATGTTTGCGGATCTCAAGACATTCTGTCCGATTTGCGCTTACAAATTCCAAACCAACGAATTGAGTCCTTCCGTGATTGTAAACAAATCGTTGTTTACTCTTCCTCTACAAATGTGCCTTTAGATTTGATTTTCTTAGATATCTACACCCAAGCTTCTAATCTCTCTGGTACGATTGTGAATGAGTCTGGATCAGCAATGTCTCATAGGGTTTTATGGTCGTTTCCCTCCAAGCAATCTCTTTTCTATAAATTGCGTCACTCAGCCGACTTTTATGTCATTTTTAAGTCATTGTTCATTGCTTATATTATTCGTTTGCTATCTCATCAATTTGTAAGCTTGAACTTTGTGGCTCTATTTTCCTTTTGCATGTTACTTTTGTACATATTTTCTTCCATTCCTAAATTTTTTTACCATTAACAGACAACTCGTGCAAATGTCGCAGTTCAAATCTGAAGCAGATTACGAGAAAATTTTCAAACATCGTTACTCTAACGACGATGTTGAATTCACTGAATATACAGAAAGACCCTCTCCATCTCCACCCATCTTTGAAGGTTGGATTTCTCGAAACAACCGACATAATTCCTCTAGTAATCGTCACTTTAATCGTCAATCAAGTTCCCACAGGCACCGCGAAGATTCCCGTCGTCATGACTAATTTTTTTTCGTTGTCCTTTTTATGCTATGAACAAAACTATTTTGAATGAATAGTGGGAATTTATATATCTTAAAATAATGAACTGACAGGGGGATTTGCCTTTTATCCATACATCTGGGGCGAGGATGAAGAAAAACATGTGCGTTTTTTATGGAAATTGCAGAAGGAAGAAAAAGAAGTAGACAGGAGGATCGTTTGTTATCGGCTTTATGGACAACACAGATTGATTCGGGAACCTGGAGGGGATAATTTATAAAAGAATTAAGAGACCTCTCGTTTCCTGCGGTTGATCATTTCTCTAAGTGCGAAGTCGGGATAGGCAGTTTTAAAATCTGCAATGAAGTCCAAAATGTCCAAGTCTGGTTTTATGTCATAATGTCTACAAGGGTAAAAATCACATTAGGGAATTTAACTACTTAAACGATATCAGTAGAGAGATTTCCACGTACGCGGCCCGTCCTTCGAGGCCCTCTTGCTTCACGAAGAAATTGATTATTAGGAAATGCTTCCAACTACGCCAAAAGTTGACAATGGGTCCATGTTCTGGTTTATATGAAGCCTTCATTCCCTTGGGAACTTTGGAAAGGTAAAGGGGATTAATCTGTTCAAGAGCGATTAGATTTTGTAAAGTCAGGCCCAAGTATGGAATGAGGGGAGGGGTAGCTTCGGCCAGTTCACGACGGTAACTAGCAAAATGCGGAGGCTGCATGTAAGGTCGAAGCCGTGCGAGGCGCTGAAATTAGAGAAGTAGTTAGTATTTTCCTTCAATGCGTTGTGTGCGTGTATGTACAACTTACAGCTCGGGTTTTCTTTGAGAAAACATTCTCAGGAACCAGGAGAAATGCACAAAGGATAGCCAGAAAGCTGTTAAAGTTCTTCAAAATATGAAGGTGCTGCAAAGAACAGGCTGGTTAATAGCACATCGAGGGAGAACACGGTGAAGACGTTCACATGCTACTTACATTCATAACTTTAAGCAGTTTGACCGCATGTCGTTCGCGTTGAGATGCGGGAGGAGCAAGAAGGAGAGTAGCAGCCCAATTGGAGAGGGCTGTGAATTGTGCTGCACAGGCTGCCATGACGGGAGCTTTTAGAGCTGATAGGGATTTGATGTCCAAAAGCTCTTCCAACTATTAAATAATTGTAAAGGAGGTGGAGATATTAGCTAAGCTAGTACTGTCATAGCTTCAAACTGTCAAAGTTAAAACTTCAAGCTAGATGACTCCGCTTATAACTGTCGCTTGCCCCTAGGGAATATAATTTCTTAACTTCCAACGTAGAAACAGATTTCACTGGCTTTTTACTTGAGACTTCGACGCATGATATGTGCCAAATGCTAGAATTGGATTTTTGGAGTAAGATATTTTCTCCATAAGGAAGGAAGGTGTAACAAGTTAAAAAAAATGGAGAGGAATTGGGTTAACTGAGTGAAATTTGTCATCCACCTAACTGTCAAAAGTAACCCCCCGATTGTGAACGAACACCAAGGCGTGACTCACAACATATTCTCTCAATTTGTCCCCCTAAATTGAAAGTCGCAGTTTATAATTTATCCTTATCCCGATTTTCAGCAGACGCTTGAAATACATTGAAAAATAACCTAAAAATTGTTGGACTTAACCGACGAATTCAATTAACTATAATACTTATAAAGAAGGCAAAATAGATAATGATACGACTATTCAATGAAGCGAAATGTTATTTATTTTCTTCAAAGTGATCCAAATAAGCTATTAAGGAATGTAACTAGAACTAAATACCTAATATTTTAACAAATGTTTTGACCGCTATAGTGTACAATCTTAACTCCAAATACCTGTGGAAATCTATTTAAATACAATTGTTAAAATATTGATAATCTTCAAAGTGTAAACATTTCAAATTTTCCAAATATGAACTTCTTATCTAAAGATATTTTCAACGTTTGAGTTGTTTCCTTTTTCTTTTACATATAAGAAAGTTATATTTTTTGAGGATACTTAAATGGTAAATACAAAAACAAATTAGTGCTTTTAGTGAGGTGAGCGTCGTTATTACGTGACGACATTATTTCGGCTGCATGAAAGTGCATAAACTTCCTGCACTTTCATTCTGAATACTGTAACCACCCACGAAATTGCACAGAAAGAGAGAGTACGCTTTTAACCGTGCCAAAATCAATTATCAAGAGCTCCAACAAAACAATCTGACAAGTGCTGATTCAAGGAAATAAGTAACTAGCAAGTCAAAGCCTCAAAAGCCATCCATCTAAGCAGAATATACAATCTGTCAATTCTTCTCATTGTATCTAACTACTATTATTATTATTATTATTTCAAATGGCAGGCTTTATGATATTTATCATTAGTTGACTTCAGCTTTCCCCACGGAAGAGGGGTGCATATATAGCAGTTCATTAGTTGTCTTCTGGCTTCTCAATATCTCTGGGTTTCTGTCATTGTCTTAAGGGTTGGACACCGAATTAGGTGGGTCTTCTCCATTTCCTCCTGTAGGTTACACAGGGGGCATGTGGGTTGAGTGTATACTCCCAATCTGTGAAGGTGTTTTGCCAGGCAATCATGTCCGGTACGTAGTCTAAACTCAGCAACGGCTTCGATTCTTGGCCAGTCGGGTATGTCGGAGAGTGTCACTGTCCACTGTTTCTTCTTTGTACGAGCTTTAAGTTAGTTGCACCTTGAGGTCTTGTTGTAACCAGCTTATTTCCCTTATAAGTAATCCTCGCTAGCCTCCTCAATCAAGGTTGACGACAATTCTCTTGAATTCTAATTGTCAGA